AATATTTGTTATTTCCAGCTACAGAAATAATTCCTGAACTACTGCTTCCTGGAAAAATAAGTTGATAGACAAGTCAGGGCAGACAGTCCCCACGTTAACACACTGTCTCAGGTTGGTATGCAAACTGGTTTCCCAAAACGCCTTTTCACTGGGTGTTACAAACACTGACATGTTTTCTGGGCCCTGCATTAACCCATGATGGTTAGCCATGTACTCAGAAGTTATCTAATTCAAAGGCACATATATAATTTAACCTTTCATTTTAAAAGTCCAGGAATAAAGCAGTAGTTGCAGTTAGTGACTGGAAGTGATGGGCCTTCAGTTTTAAGTTGGCGGAAGGAGGAATGATATACACAGGTCACTGAGGCCAATTGAGATGAGACCAAAATGAGTGAGTAGCAAAGGAAAAGTAGCATATCCAGGGAGCACTGAGCTACATACACACACTAGTTCAGAGCAAACAAACTGGGCTCAAATAAGACAAGTTACTCACCAGAGTCTCACTTCTTACAGTTCCTTGCCTAATAATAACAGCCATTCATGTGTTTAGAGTAGACAAAAACTTAAGTTATGTCTAGGAGAGGTAGTACATGTCTTTAATCCTAGCACTTGGGAGGCTGAATAGTCGGATCTGAATTCAAGGCCAGCCTGGGCTACAAAAAACAAAATAAAATAAAAACTAATAATAATAATAATAATAATAATACAGTAAGTTTATGGCCGGTGAAATGGCTCAGTGGGTGAAGGTGCTCCCAAGCCCGACAATATGAAGTTGATTCCCAGGTCCCACATAGTGGAAGACGAGGACTCACTCTCCCAAGCTGCCCTCTGTCTTCCACACGTTGTAGCATGTGTGCCCTTGCCTATTTACACACACAGTAAATAGATACAATAAAGAAAATTTTTAATTAGAACAAAAAGCTTAGGTTTTGGTTCCCTCAAACCTAAGGCATACACAACAAATTTCCCAGTTCTTCCCCGGACAGGGGGAAAGTCAAGGTTTCCAAAGTATTACTCTAGAACCCAGGTAAACGCTTTTACAAGGAGCAAACAAGGTGCTGGACAGATGGCTCAGTGGTTAAGAACACTGGCTGCTCTTAGAAAGGATTGATTCCCAGCAACCACATGGCAGCCCAGGGATCTGAAGCCTTCTCCTGGCCTCCACAGGCACCAAACATGCATACAGTGCACAGACATAAATGCAGTCAAAAACTCATGCATGTAAAAGAAAATACGTTACAAACAGTTTAAAGTGCAAACAAGATGGACATGGTGGCTCATACCTGCAGTGCCAGCTATGAATGAGTTTTACACCAGCCTGGTTAGAGTGAGACCTTGTCTCAAAACCAAACCAAACCAAACAAAAATCACAAACAAGCAAGCAAACTAGAATTTGTAAAATGTCCCCACAACCAAGATCTGGGCACAAGAGGATTACCAATTAAAGTCTCTTTTCTTCCAAAGCACTAGTGTTTTGTTTGTTTTAACTAAAACTTAATACTCTGAAGAAGAGGTTATCTACAAAGGCAGCTGGCATTTGTTCTCAATTTTGGTGTAATTTCATTTTCTAGGTGTGCCTAAATGTGTATTCTGTCCCCACCACTTGCTAACTTTGTGGCCTTAAATAAAGTCCTAAACCTCTCCTGTGTGCCTTAGTTTTCCTCAATGAGAAACTGGGATTAGGATTAATACACAGACGAGACTTTAGATAGCAAGCTGAGGAGCCAACAGGAGCACATTACACAGAAACCCAGCCTTTCTTCAGGCTGCTACTTAAGTGCTGCTCTCTCAGCTGCAATGACTAGCCCTGGTATCCTAAAGTCACTTCAAATGTCCCATATCCCACAAGCACTAATAGTTCTGCCTCGAGTATGTTTCCTTCCTCCCTCCATCCCTCGTATGGTGGTTTGAATGAGAATGGCCCCCACAGGCTCATATATTTGAATATCTGATTCCCAGTTAGTAGACTATTTAGGAAGGATTAGGAGGTGTGGCCTTGATGGAGGAGGTGTGTCACTCACTGGGGGGTGGGAGCTGGACTTTGAGGTTTCAAAGGGGGATGCTAGGTCCAATGTTGGTCTCTTTCTGCCTCCTTTTTGCAGATCAGATGTAAGGTCTCAGCTATGGCTCCAGTGCCAAGCTTGTCTGCCTGCCACCATGCTTCATACCATGATGATCATAGACTAACCCTCTAAAGCAGTAAGCAAGCCCCCAATTAAATACTTCCTTTTATATGATGCCCTGATCATGGTGTCTCTTCACAGCAGTACAGAGACTAAAACACTCCTAGTCGCTAATTGTGAAATTTTCCCGACCAACTAGTCACCTCACCATCTCAGAAATCTCAACAGTCCTTTAACACTGCTTTAGCTGCTTGGATTGATACAACACTCATGTAACTGCCATCCCTTGGACCTGTGCCCCTCTCCCTACACAAAACACTACCCATCTTAATTAGCATTTCTAGAGCTGTGATTAATCACCATGACCAAAAGCAACTTGAGGAGGAAAGAGTTTATTTGGCTTATATATCCCAGGTTCATAGTTCCTTTAGGGAAGCCAAGGCAGGAACCTGGAAGCAGAAACTGAAGCAGAGGCCATGAAGGAGTGCTGCTTATTGGTTTGCTTAGCCTGCTTTTTATACAACCCAGGACCACCTGCCCAGGGGTGGTACCTCCCATATCAGATGGGCTGCCTGACATCAATCATTAATCAAGAAAATGCCCCACAGACCTGCCTACAGACCAGTCTGATGGGAGTAATTCCTCAATTTGAGATTACCTGTTCCCAGATATGTCTAGGTTTGTGACAAGCTAACAAAATATACCCAAAAAGAAGTTGAGCCTAACATTCTCTCTCCATTTCCTCCCCTCTTGCCAACAGGTGCCTAAGAAGGAGAGCTTCTTTGTTGCCCTAGGTGTATGCGCCACTGCCCCCCCCCATCTCTGTCTCCCTCCCTCCAAACCCTCCTGCCCCAGTTCCTGTAGCACAAGGTACTGTCGTGAAACCATGCACAGTGGGGATCATCTGCCCTCTACCCAGAATGCCACACTCAATTAGAATGTCCTTTCTCAGCCTAAGAAATCTCTACTCCCACAAAGCCACTTCAGGTATCACCTCATCGTAATTTTCAATATTCCTCCAAGCATGGGAATGACCTGTGTCTTCTATTTTTATACAGAATTAGCATTCTGCATTTTCTGGAAGCTGTGAATAATACAAGACAGGTTCTGACTTTGAACCCTGGAGAAAATTACATAAATTCTTATTTCCTGTAAGGAACATGTTACTCTAGAGTGCTATGAAAAAGCATGAAGGAACCAATTATTCAGCTTTTTGTTTTTGTTTTTTTGAGACAGGGTTTCTTTGTGTAAGCCAGTCACAAAAGACTAGTACTATATGATTCTACATATCATAGACTACTATAGTATATACTAGTATTATATGATATACTATACTATATACTAGTACTATACTACATACCAGTACTATATGATTCTACATATAGTATCTAAAATAATCACATTGAAATAAAGCAGAATGGCATTTGTCAGGGGCTAGTGGGCAGCCAGTTATTTTTTTTTTTAAACAGGTATAGAGCTTAAGATGTTTGTAAAGTTCTAGAGACCTGTTTCACAACCATGTGAACATACTTAACATTGCTGCAATATCCACTTTAAAAAAAGGAATTCCCTGCAATCACAGTTGGAGTCAACCTACTACATGAGATCATACTACATGAGATCATACGTAATCCCAATAGACAACTACTTCACCGAAGTTGTATATTACACATGTGGTTAGTTACTAGTCCTTATCAGGCCTGATCCACCAGCAACATTTAACTCTGCTGCTCTCTGGTTCCTCTTGAAAGCCCTTCATCACTGGGTTCTAGGACAGAGCCCCTTGCCTGTCTCCTTGCCTGGGTGTTCCTCATCACCCAGTGTCTAGACATGAGCAACTAAGAATCCAGTCTTCAGACCTCTTCTTCCCTATCCATCAACCCTTACCACCTGTGAGTGGAGTCTAATCTAGTGCAGTTTTCCCACCTTGTTTGCATCATTATCATTGCCTTTTTAGAAGTTGAATTACCCCATTCCCCACGAAACTCAACACCAAGGAATTAAGACTGCCAGGTAGTGCTGAGCTTTGGAATAACTCACTGAGAAATCTCAGTGGTTTGTTTTTATTGTTGTTGTTTATGCCCTCTCTCAAAAACCAATTTTTTTTTGCCCCTCTGGAGTACGTCCCAGTGGCTCTAAATACTATTTCTGGGCTGAAGGCTTCCATTTTGGCTACAGTTTAGAACTCTTCTCTGAACTCCGTATCACAAACACCCTTCCTGACACTTTCACTTGAATATCCAACAGGCATTTTAACATGCCCTCCCCCATCTCAAAACTCCCCATCCTCCCCACCAACTCATGTTATTTCCTTGTCTCCCACCAACTCATGTTATTTCCTTGTCTGAAATCTTCAACCCTTTCTTTATTCTTCCCAAAGTGGAAGAGCTTACCTCCCCTCCCCCACCAAATTAAACTACAACAATGTTTGCTTCCCTGATACGCCTCAAACACACCAACCTTGTGCTTACTTGGAGTTTTCCACTGAAACAAGTTAAAATGGCAATGGCCCGCTGCTTTTTAGATAAAGTTTTATTGGAATACAAACCTACTCATTTGTTTACATTTCATCTGTTACTTTCATATGACAACAGCAGATCTGAGCAGAGAAATAGAGACTTTATGGCTCACTAAGTCTTAAATGTTTACTATGACGCCCCTTACAACACAACACTCCTATCAACAGGCAGTGCCTTCACTTTCTTCACATCTGTGTCCATACATGACCTCTTCCATGAAGCTTTCCCTGAAAAAATTATTTTAAAAGCTGTCTGCCCTTGTCACACCTACCTGTGTACCAAGCTATCTCCCCTTTCCACCCAACTTTCTCCCACAGTACTTAAAACTGTGTAAGTCTACATTTTACTTGTTTCTTACCTGTCTTCCCTGGACTACATACAATACAAGGGCTTCACCATGGAAAATGTTTTTTGTTGCATCATCGAAGCTAGCCCCTGAAACAAAGGTACTCCATAAATATTTGATGAATGAATCAGTGTATGTTAGGTACCTGATAAATATTTGCAAAAGTGAAGAGAAGAGGAAGGGATTTTGGGTACAGAGAACTCTGTGTACTCAAGCATTTCAGAGTGACATATTTAAAGCACACTTTCTATCTTTGTAATATCAAATTATGAGCTATTTTAAACCATCTATTTAGACATTTGGCACCTTCAATCAGACTATGTTACACAATGGGGGAGCTGTGTATTGTTGTCCATTTGGTTCCCAGTGTCTATACTTTTATCTGACACCCAGATCCCTTACACAATTACCTCCAGAAATATCCCAGAATGTCTGCCTAAACAGGTCTAGCACCCAAGTGCTTAGGTCACTCTGGAATTGCCTGATCCCTCTTTACAGATGAAATTTTAACTAAAATATATCTCAAAATAATTCTAATACCTACCTGAGACAATGAAATGCCCCTTAAACCTTCATTTATTAACTTGTGAGAGAAACATGTCATTCATTGCTTTGCTTCTAACTTCAAATGGTTTTGAGAGTCCTGAGCAAGAGAACTTTCCAGTATGAACAATAACTCTCCAGCTCCACATATATATTTATATTTTAAAAGGTGAAAGAAAATACCCTGAAAACCCAAGTTTCAAATGAGCTAAAGTAAAGTGATATACCTTAAAAGGTTAGCTACACAAATATTTTACTTATAGGAACATAACTCCACTAAAGGTACCTTTATATTACTCCTTTAGAGAGATATTCAATGTTCACTCAAGCAATGCACTCTAATGTACTTTAATGTTCATAGCTGCAAAATAATTCATTAGGCTTAAGAAAAAGATCCAGAGAATGAAACCCGAGGACAAAGGTGAGTAAAACAAAAGGAGGAAAACACAGTGCTATCATTTTTGGTGTGGAGAGAACACAAAATTGCAAGTCCAGAAAGGTGGTAACACAGGTCAGTGCTGTCCAGTCAGAGAAGCTTCTGTTTAGAGGGGGTGGTGGTCATTGCAGAGACTCACAACTGGTCAAGATGCTGAGAAAAAGTGAGTGATGAGAATGCTCCGCCATAAACAGGGTATCTAGTCAGCCCCTACAAGGCTCAGGGACACTGCAGAAGAGAGGGTGGAAGGGATGCCAAACCCGAGGATGGGGAAGGACAGCTGGAAAAGGCTGTCTTCTGGACGTAGCATGGCTGCGGTGTTACCATTCACAATACACACATTCCTGGATAGATGCGGGGAAGGGGCTCACGAGCACTGCCTCTCCTGAGCAGCTGACAGTGGTGGCTGCTAGGGGAGAGGGAGTCATTCTTTTCACCAGTGCTACAGACACTGTTAATACGGCCTTGCTCCAATAAATGTGCACCAATGCTGCATGTAACCCTAATTTAACAATGGGTCACAAAAAACAAACAACAACAAAAACCAGCCAAACAAAGACATGAAAATAAGAAGGGTATTCATTGGGAAGGAGGGATTCAGGAATAAGACGGAGTTAAGAAAGGGTGATGGGTACATCTGTGTGAAAAAGATCCAAATACATTATATACATGTATAAAATTATTTTAAAAATTAAAAAAACAAACAAACATGGGGTGAAGTCTCACCATTAGCTGTATGATTTTTGACAGAGATTTCTTAACTCTGGCTTAAATGATATTTTAAGCTGGGTATTTATTTGTTGGAAAAACTGTTCTGAACACTAAAGGATGATTCACACTGCGGCACCAAGAATATCTTTTGAGTTGTGATAGCTGAGGAGACTCTAGACATTGCCAGAAACAATAGTGGCATGCACCACTATGCCTAGTTTATGGGGTACTGGAGATGAACCCAGAACTAATTCATACTAGGCAAGCACTCTATCAACTGAATCGCATCCTCAGCCCTCCTAGTCTAACTGTATGGTAGAATGTTTTCTCTTTCTCCAACAGAAATGATAATCTCTGCAAATAATGTCTTTATTCAAGCTGCAACTAAGCCATGCACTACAGAAACAGTGGTGAACACTCCTTCAAAAGTGAAGAATGTTTGTAAAGCATCTATTGTGCTCTTTCCCATGTACAATGGTGTTCTGTGAGCTAAAGAAGAAAATAAAGCACAGGAAGTGGTACAGAATACCGGAGATCAAATTTAATGTGTTAAGTCCAAAGCTGGTTCATTATAAAAACACCGGCAAGAGGTCAGAAAGCGTATTCCCACAAACTGCAATGGAAAGTAAACACCCTGACAGGAATCTGCTCAAAGGCTCTAAAATTTCAATGGCCCTCAAGCTATTGTTTACGGTCTTAGGCAACCAGCTCAACTACATGCCAAGTTCCAGGACAGCTAAAGCTACAGTGAGACCCGGTCTCAAAAAATAAAAAGAAAGTTTTAAGCAATGTAACTTTAGGAGATTATGTGATATACTCGAATGGAAAAATATTTCAAAATAGTGATGGCAACAAGTATTTTCCAGAGCAGAGTCTTTCATTGAGCTTTAAACCTCCAATATGAAATGCTACCTTGGACTTTACCAACCCAACCCAGTCCTCACAATTCAGTATGAGCGAAAAACCATAGTATGGATATAATGGGATAAATGCCATAACATGTTTAGATCCACTTTGTAGAAAAGGGTAAGGACAGGGCCAAAGTGACAAGACGAGCAGGTCTGTGGGAACTTCCTCCAGATCAATTCAGCAGGGGTAGGAGAAAGAAGGGGACAGAGAGAAGGAGTCATAATGCCATGTTATATTTTAAACCTGACTTTTTAAAGTATCTTCTGAGGGTTCATTAATTTGTAGTTTTATTTCTGCAGTTATTAAAATAGAGAATCTAGGTCAAGTGTTGTTTTCAACATGCTAATACCATTCCAAAATTTTTCAAAATGCTTCATTTCAAATCTACAAATGTACACTATCTTCCAGGTGGTATTTCTGATAACCACTATGTTTATTACATAGAAAACAACAGAGTAGTTTTAAAGAACTGAAGGAGACACATCTGAAACAGTTTATAAGCCAGCCTACATATTGGTCCAACATTTTACAGCTTATTTTCAAGTACTCAGTACCCATGCTAATTGGGTACTCAGGCAGGGGCCTAGAGTGCTGAAGTGATAGGCTGACACAGCACCTTGGGAAGTGACAGCAATCGCTTGGCCTCCTCCTCCTCCTGAAACCCACCACCCTTCATTAACTTACGAGGAGTTACAGATGGAAAATTACTAAAGAAGAAAGCAAAGGCGCGGGGTTCCATAGCAACTTTGACCGTCTAACCCAAACAGTATTTAACAAAGGGAGTCATGATGACTAAAACAGAAACTTTGTGAGGAAGGACATATTTAAAATGACCTACAGTCAAATACTTCCTCATGTTACAAAGCAATACATGGTTGTGTATAGTGATGCAAGCCTTGAACACTCAATACGCTAATACTCAAGAGGCTACAGCAAGGCTGTAACTGGAGGCCAGCCTGGGTGACATAGTGAGTTCCAGCCAGCCTGGTCTACAGAGTGAGGCCCTCTTTCAAACAAACTTGAGTGTGATGGTGTATGCTTATAATCTCAGTACTTGGGAGGCTGAGGCAGAGAGATTATTGTACAATTGAGGCCAGCATGAGCCAAAGTGCCATTTTTAAAAAAAGAATAAGAAGACATGTAACAAAGTAAACAAAATCCACCCAGGAAGTAGGAGGAAGAATTTCTTCCTGATTTTGATAATGAGCCAAAAGTCATAATCTTCTAAGTGACAAGACTTAGAATACACACCAAGATCTGCACCGTCCCTTCCAGCCCTGAAACAAATCTTCTATTTTAGTCCCTAAAGTTAAAATGCTTAACTGTGTTTGCTGGAATAACAGTAAGGAACAGCAGAAAACAGTTCTGTAGATAAATTTTCTGTTTTGTAAGGAATATCTTGCTATGTAGCCTTGATACTCTTCTCCAGATTATAATCGCTATGCACTGGGTGAATGACAGGCAATCCTTTACTACAGACCTGTTCTAAATTTCAACCAAATAAAGCTCAGAGTGAAAAAAAAAAAAAAAAAAAAAAAAAAAAAAAAAAAAAAAAGGACTTGCTTGCTATTCCCTACAGATGCTTCTGTGCCTCTCTGTACACATATTGTAAACTACTGTTTTATGGTACAAATTACATATATTTGGCCTGGATCATTTCAATGGGGACTGAGTGATAGTTACTCACCAGAATCATCAAAAACAAATATACACTTGTTTCTCTGTGTGTAAGACTTAAGTATCAATGATCTGCTGCTATTATAATTCACCAGAACATTTCAAAATGAGGCTGGAACCATGAGAAGTAAATCTCACAAAATGAAAAGAACATTGTCAGTTATTTTAGCACTCCAACATAAAACATCCCACAAAAATCAAAATAGGAATAATAAGGTAGAGCCCACTTTAAGTGGCCCCTGAAAGGTTTTCATTTTACAGGGCTGCTGCTACCTTCATTTCTTTAGAAAGTCTTCAAACATTCCCAACATCCAACTCTAAATGACTTTTGTATTAACAACAATCCTAAGAGACTTTTAACACAGAAACAGATTAGTGTTAGCTGACACCTGTAATCCAGCACTTGGAAAGTTAGGCACGCAGATGGCCACAATATGAGAACCCATCTTAAAAAAAAAAAAAAAAAAAAAAAAAAAAAAAAAAAAAAAAGCAAGCAGGGAATGGTGGTGCTCATATGTAATCCCAGCACTCTGGGAGACAGAGGCAGGTGGATCCGACTTTGAGATCAGCATGTTCTACAGAGGTCCAGGACAGCCAGGGCTAAATAATGAGCCCTGCTTAAAAAAAAAAATTAAGCAATTTCTTTTTTTTTACATTTATGCCTTTAGGACAAACAATATGGCATCATTCTTAACAGTGGTTGAGACATTATCAACTCATGAACATTAAACGCTCAACAAGTAAGCAAATACAAATTCTGTACATTTCATGTCACACACACAATAAATTCCCTAAAGATGTTTGGTTTCCTGGCAATGGTTACCACTATATATAAACTGTATCACAAAAATATCCCAAGGCACTACCAAAATAATCCTTTTGATAAATCTAAACTTCTTCATATTTACTCATAATTTTAAA